GCTCGCTATATTGCTAACGCTTTCGGTGCTAACGTTAGCTGTGGCTGCACTCGCGACTGGGTGCTTTGCATTGATGTGGGAGGCTAAACTTGAGCCGCTTCGGTGGTACGCAAACTCCTTCTTACAAATTAGGCACAACGCTCGACCTTTATCAACTGTGTCGTCAAGGGCGTTTTTGGAATGCGAAACAAGCCCCAACAAAATGGCAGCCAATCAATGTCCGCTTCAGGCTGTGACTGACAGTTGTTTCCCCACCCTAAACAACTCAAACACAGGAAGCCAACACATAAAAAGGGCTATTAGAAAAAGGCAACCCACCTACAGAAACAATAAAGGCAGAGATTAAAATTTTGATTAACGCGATAAAAAGCAATGTGACAAATGACTGTAATTAATTAATCGCAATTAACGCGATAATTTAACACCTCTAGAAACAATAGTATATTATACATCTTTCCTTATGTAGCGCTTTCACAACAGGTAAGGACAGATCAAAGGAAATTACGGCAGGAAAGCAAAAGATGAGCAAAGGAAATGAGAAAGGAAGGTGAGACCACTTATGACGACGATCTCGGTGAATGGGTGTCGGGTGTCCAGGCCCCTGAATGGTTGGGCGGTAGGGGTGTCACAGGGGGTGGAAGGACACTCCTAACTTTAGTGTGACCACCGTCAGCTTCGCAAAGCAGACCTCCCCCCATGGACACTGCTGACTGCCAAGGTAAGACATACAATCAGTTTGTTGTTTACATGCTGCCAAGAAGACGGATTGTAACGCTTGTTTTCGTCTCACTGTTGTGTTGGTTGTTGTTTGGTGCAATGATTTGTACACGGCACTGCTCTCAGATCTCTGACACAGCTGTCGCTTAAAAATAGATCTTTGGCCAGGCCCGACACCACTCAGCCTCTTGAACGTTGGTATCATCATCAGCTTGAAACATGCACTCATACGTATCTCCAGTACAGCACATAGTGAAATATAAAGTATCATATGATAAAAGTTAGTCATGGCATTCATGTTAGCTTATGAGCTTCATTTTGTTTTTCAAAGCAGCGTTCCTTACACTCTAACCGCACACTGGTTGGGAATCACTGCGTCAGTTTGTATTTGGCTGCTTGCTATTTCTTACAAACTAAAAAAATATTGTCATCTTTTTATTCCATGTGGGTTCGGATGGTCAAAGAGGACGCACGTTTGACTGACCAGGAGGCAATCAACGGGGCTGACATGGCATCTGGCAGAGAGCACGAGGATCAGGCGGTGCCGAATGGCGACGTAGAAGAGAGTAACATCTATGGTATACAATCTATAGAGGAGAGTAACATCCATGGTATACAATCTCGTTACTTGCGATGTTCGTCGCCCAGGTAACATTTTAAAACTTTTACAGTCAACTGAATGCAAGATAGCGAGATGACTTGATTTGTACCGTTTTCAGCCTCTCCATGACGTCAGAGTCCAGGTTTTCTGCCATTTCTGGCTCGGATGCTGGCAGTATTTTTATGGAGCCGATCCACTTGTCGTCGGCCATTGCCGCCAAAAAAATCATTAATGAGGGTGAGACACTGTTTGACACTCACATCAAGCAAGATTTTTTTGATCATTTGATCAGTAGAGAGTTATCTGACATATCCACCAAATGTCAACACCTGTACTGTTGTGCCTCTGATCGTCTGCTGTTGAAAAAAAATCCTGAAAGCTTCACTGCGTTCTCAACCACATTGATTATTACTGACTGGAGCCCCTACTGTGACTATATATGCTCCCAGCAAGATGCCGGTGCACAGCACATGTAGCAGGGAGATAATTGAAAGGACAGCAGATAAGACATGGATTTCATATTAAGATACAGCGAGCCCTGCAAATCTGAAGAGGAATGTGACTCGTGTTAAATGAGACAATTACCTTTAAGTGAGAGACTGTCTAGAGTCCTGCATTTACTAATGAGCTGAGGTGATGACTTGAGCGAGAAGATTTAGATGTCAAACACCGCATGCGGATGAGCTTGTCTATCCTGAATTCATTCATTCATTCATTCATTGTCCGAACCGCTTGATCCTCACTAGGGTCGCGGGGATCCTGAATTCAACTTCGGGAAATTCATTGGTGGAGAAATAAAATAATGAAAATTAGTTTGTCACTTAAGAAACATCCAATTGAGTTTTCAAATGTAATTCAGCCAAACCCGCTCAATAAAAACTGAACTCAAGTTTTTTTTTTTTTTTTTTTTGTCATTGTCAGAATTGCCACCTCGAGGTGCCCGCCCCGAGTCCATCCCAGAATCCATGCTTGAAACCGCTGAGCAGCTGATGGTGGAGGACCTCTACAACCGAGTGCGGGAGATGATTGATGACCGCAGCCCCTACAACACTCCCTGTGTGCTGGACATCCAAAGGGCTATGGTTCAGGAACGCCTGGAGGCCCCCAGCAGGGATATGGATGAAGTGTGGCCAAACATTTTCATCGCTGAGAAGTCAGTGTCACCTATATCTTCTCAATCAACACGTGTCACATGTGTTTCTTTTCTGATTGATATAAAAATGATTCAATAGATATAAACATATAACACGGGGTAGGACTAGATAAGTTCTTTACTTCTTCCTACTCCCTTGAACATAATAACTGTGTTGAATGATGACTAATTTCTCTTTCCTCTTTACTCTTTTATTTACCTTATTTTCTGTCAAATTATTACTGTATATGTTTTATGTTCAATAAACAAACAAACAAACAAACACATGAAAATGGTCAATGACAAAGAGAGGATGTCCTTTAGGGAACTTAAGTACAGTTGAGGAAAATACATGAGAAAACAATGCGGACTAAAGCAGGCAGATTTTTTGCAAGTCGAGTTGAATATTGCTGCTCTTACTCACTGGTCAAAGGGAGGAGTCATGTATCACATTTAACTCAACACATACGTTTTTGGTCTTAAATGAATAAATTGAAAATATTTTAAACTTAATTAATTTCTTACATTCATTTGGAAGAACTTATTCTTTTGGAATTGCATGCTTTGTACTTAGAATATTTCAAATCTTGCTGCAAGCTTACACAAGTGTGTTTCAGCTCTCCTGAAAGGCAATGTTCAATGTTTCGTATCACCCAGATCTGTCGCCGTCAACAAGGCCCGGCTAAAGCGAATGGGCATCACACACGTCCTTAACACCGCACACGGCACCGGCGTCTACACGGGGGAGGCTTTCTATTCCGGGATGGGGGTGCACTACATGGGTGTTGAGGTGGATGACTTCCCTGACGCTGACATCTCACCACACTTCCGGCCTACTGCTGAATTCTTGGATGAAGCTTTGCTCACTCACAAAGGTGAGCACCCACTTCGGGGAAGAAATGAACTTGATGTGTTTTCCTGGAACGAGATCCGTTTCTGTCACGTAGTTAATTTTGACCACGGCTCATGTAACCTTTGCAGTCACATGTTCATCAGCAAATCTGATTAAAAACAAAGAGCTTCACAGTTCATAAGATTTCATTGAAATATCAGTCTATCCATCTATCCATTCATTTACTACACCACTTATCTTATTAGAGAAATAAGATTATATCATGAAATACCCTAAGCCTTGTGAGCTCTCACTATTGCTTTTTTGTTTACAGGCAAAGTTGCGGTGGTTTCCATGATGGGTATCAGTCGTTCAGCTGTCCTGGTGGCATCCTACCTGATGATCTTCCAGCACATGACCATCATGGAGGCCCTGACAGCCATGAGGAAAAAGCGCCCCATCAATCCCAATGAGGGTTTCCTCAAACAACTGCGAGAGCTCAATGAAGACTTGCTGGAGGAGAGGGAGGATGACGACACACTCAGCCAATGTTCCGTTATCGACGCACGCACTCGTGCTCGGATCTTTGGCGAGGGCAATGAAGATAATGAGCTGGATCATGACGAAAGGCAAAGCATGATTGAGGTAAAAGCGCACTCCATCATGATGGAGGAGGAGGAAGACGGCACCAGTGTGATGAGCAGCGTGGCCTCGTCCGCAGCCGCTGAGGAGCTTCGGAGCATATCCAACAGACCGCACAACGGTCAAACTTCATGTGGTCAAGCGAAGTCAGTCCTGTCTAAACAGGTGGGAAGCACGGAAGTTGTCGAGGATGACGACGGTTTGGATCGAATGATTCACGAGTGGCAGCGCAGAAATGAGCTCTACCAAAGTGATGAGTGGTGGGAGGCGCAGCTGAACAGCGACGTGGAGGATGCGGCGCCCGGCGCGTGTGCAGATGCAGATGTTGAGAGTGTCACCAGCGAGGACGTGCGCGACCTGAAGGAATGTTTGAAGCGCCGCCTCAGACGGCCTGCGTCGGATGCTGTGTCCACCTCTAGCTGCACCAGTTACACTGACCTCTGGAAGCAGCGACTGCGGGAGATCGAGGAGGAGGCCTCCGCTCGGTATCGAAAAAAGGATAATGAGGAAGGCAACAACAGTGATGTAGCACAACAGGAGGCAAAGAATAAAATTGATGAGGAGATGGAGAGCATCCTGTCAGACAATATGTCCATGTACAATTTCTGCCTGAAGAACAAGGACAAGATGACGCCTTTGGAGCGTTGGCGGGTCAAGCGGATTCAGTTCGGATGGAACAAGAAAGATCGTGGAGACGGAGAGAATAGTTCTGTTGGTGATAATGAGAAAAGTGATGGTGTTGAAGCACCAACTCCATCATTCGAAGACGTCAACCTGACCGCCTATCAGTCTTGGAAACGGAGGCAGCAGAGGCGACTTGGCGAGGAAAACATGGAAGAGATTCTGGAGCTGAGTCGGGGTGACGATTCTGCCACTATTAAACGGCGGCAAAGGCGGGAGGAGATCCTGGAGCGTTCCAAAAAGACGTTGGAAGAAAGCCAGTCTGTCTGCGGCTGGGAGAATGAGAGCTGTATAAGTGGTGGTACAATACCTCTCTCCGCCTTCTGGGCCGGAGCTGGGGTCACTGGACCACCCAGTGTCATCAATGACGACAACATGTCAATGATAAGCGGACAATCGTCTGTCCGATCGTCTGCATCGCAGGCCTGTAGTACGAGATCAACGCACTCAATTCTACAACCTCCTCCCATTCTTCCTGTTCCGACTGTCCAGGGTCCCTCGGGAGAACCAATGGTAAACCTGGCCAGCATCCAGAACTGGATCGCCAATGTGGTCACCGAAACCATTAAACAGAAGCAGAGCGAGATGAGCCTACCTCCTCCATCACTTGCGGGTTCGGAGCTGAGTTTTGGTGCTCCATCCAACGTGATGACAGGTCGTGGTGGAGATGACAAAGCCTCCGTGTTGAGTAGGCAGTCTTACTCCAGTACCATGTCGCACGGTTGTGGCCGGCCAGCATCTGTCGGTGGCTTAAGTGGGGTCAGTGCCAGAGGTTCTGCGCTGCTGGATGCTCAGAAAAATAAAATCACCACCACCAGTGTCCCTCTGTTCAGCCTCTTCCAGGACCAGGTCAACCTAGGTAAACTGGATGCCATTGACAAGGAGATCAGGTCTGAAATGAGAGACAAGATGGCGACCTATGAGAAGAAGAAAATTCTGGAGGACAACAAGCGCAGCACTTTATACAAGAAAAAGAAACCAAAGGCGGATGACGATGAAGAGGAGGAGAAAAGGAAGGAGGAGGAATTCCTTGAAGAGACAACGAAAAAGAAGCAGAAACCTTTAAAGACATTTGGCCTCTCTGGATGTTTGAACCTCAACCCCGCTCTGGAGACCACCAAGAACACCAGCGTTGACGACTGGCTGAAAACTGTCAGGCCTCCTCCCAGAAAAGCTGCCGCCGCGGCAGCAACGGAGGATCCCGATGACGACCTAGACGGCTCCGCCTCCCAGTTTGACTTCTCCAGCCGCAGGGCCTCGTGTGCTGGTGAGGACGATGACATGCAAACATATGGCGGCACCTCCAGATACTTATCCCAACTGCAAATGGACACGTCTGCCAATGGTGCGCACTATTCTGGCATCAACAATGGCCACAGTCAAGCCAGGAGATCATATGGCGAGGACGTTGAGCCGAGTGACCTCAGCTCGAGGAGGAAATTCACAAATCATTCACAATACAAAAGCAACGACACAGCTGGGGGGATGCGGGATGCGGATGGTGACGATGAGGAAGAAGACGTTGAAGCCTTCATTGCCCAAACTAGGCAGAGGGTTAGAGCTCGAGCGGCTGCCGAGGAGCCCGATGACGAGGTGCTCGCTGCCTGGAGGGCGCAGCAGGAAGCTAAGTGGCAAAGTCAATCATAGATAAATTGAGCAGGAAACAAATGAGCGCCGCCATTGACTGCCTGGGGGGCAAGTGGTATAGAAAATAGATAAATGGAGATCAATGAGTAAAAACAAGTGCACATAATTTACTCTTTGAATGCACAAATTCTGGTAAACATATTTTGTGTATTTCTTTATAATAAAAGAAAACTGCTGCTTTGCAATTAATAAATGGGGGGAAAATTACCACAGCGGATTTTCAAATATGTAATTCTTTGCGGGAAAGCACCGCCGTGACTGGTTAGCACAAAACGCTTCCTCCCACAGTCCAAAATGTGTATAAAAAAAGATTACCCGGTAATTGAAAAATTTTGTACGAATGCGAGAGTGAATTGTTGTGTGAAATTGTCATGCCTATGACTGACAGGTGATATATCAAATATGTAAGTCACCTGAGACGGGCTCAAACAGGATAACAAGTATAGAAAAGTGATGTAAAAGTCACCTGGAAAGTATTCATAGCGCTTCAGTTTATCCATTTTTGTTATTTTACAGCCTTGTTCCAAAATGGAATTCTTTTTTTTTTTCAAACTTCTACACACAACACCCCATAGGAACAATGTGAAAAATGTTTTCTTTCTGCAAATTTATTAAAACGAAAAAAATGAGATCACATGGATGTATACACTGCCTTTGCCATGAAGGCCAAAATTAAGATTAGGTGCATCATGTTTCTACTGATCATTCTTGAGAGGTTGTGTGCACTTAAGTGGAGAAGTGTCACCAAAAGGGTTTAATTCTTTTTAATTGTATTTAATTGTGTCATGACTGTTAGAGTAATGAACTCGTCTCAAGACTTTATACACCTGCAAGCTTACGTGTAGCACCATCTAGTGGACCACCGTAGTAAACATCGAAGGAGTTTTTGTGATTTCGTCCCTCATTCAAACATTTTCCAACACATTCCTTTCGAGTTTGTCTTTCAGCATTATGTGTAAAGAATAACATTTCTTTCCACTGTGATATGTGGTGACATAATGCTGATGAATGTGAGACTTAAAGATCACAGACTTAAATGCTGCCGTCCGTGCGGCTAGATCGCATTTGAGAGATTAAAGTATTACAAAATGTGCGCAGCTACATGAAGCGCGTGACTATACACGTAGCCGTCAGGTCGAATCACTGGAGATGTAAGACAGAAATCAGAGTAAAGGTGGAGCCAGGAAGGAGGAGGATGGGACTACGTGAGAAAACTAGAGCAAACACATTTACTAACTGTCATCATAAAAATGACAATGAGGAAAACATGGATGCAAAAAAGGTCACTTTGTATTTGAGAGTGAAAATGGTAGTGACAAGAAAAAAAATCATGAAAGAGACGAGTTAAATAAGAGGGATTACAAAGTTGGGGAGATGAAGATGGTAATGGGAACAAAGAACAATACTGTACATGTTGATATGGGGAGGAGGCCCACGAAGAAGAATATGGTGTGCTGGAGAGAGAGATGTCATCACCCCAGTGCAGAAACATACTGACAAGGTGGGCATCGAAAACAGCTCAGTGCATCATAAAATTTTGTCTTGCTTTTGGACTTTATAATTGCTGGTACAATACAATACAATACAATACAATAAAATACAATACGTGTACAAATACTGTAAGTGTCAGGCCACACATATATTGTGTAATCAAACGGCCATGTTAATCGTTTATGGGCAGCCCATTTCCGAAAATGTGTCCTTGAGCAAGTCATTTTTTTTTTCTTTTTCAATATGCCAAGTTGTGATATCCCAGTTTAACTAAATAACAGTTGAACAAATTGCGAACAATTCATCAAAAAGAGCTTTGAGCTTTTTAATGTGACTCCCAATTTAGGTTTCCTGTCGAAACAGACACAAAACTAAGAATTGCATCTTGTGTATTTAAAATTTCTTAGCTTTCCCTTTGGAGTCTGCTTAGCTTAATGCTAACAAACAATGCAACCCCCCCATTGATTTGCTAACAGCTAGCATTGATAGGGTTTTAGACCCCTTTTTAATCAACAGATATTTCAGCACCTATACAGTACTGGCTGGCAACCAGCTCAAGGTGTACCCAACCTACTGCCGAAGACAGCTGGGTTACGCTCCAGCATGCCTGCTACCCTTGTGCGGATAAGTGGATTAGAAAATGGATGGATGGATGGATTTTATTTGTCGAACATACTTTTAATTAAATAAAATGAATTGACACAATTGGGCAGATAACAATATTCACAGGCGACCCGGTAGTCCAGTGGTTAGCACATCGACTTCACAGTGCCGAGGTACCGGGTTCAATTCCAGCTCCGGACTTCCTGTGTGGAGTTTGCATGTTCTACCCGTGCTTGCGTGGGTTTTCTCCGGCTCCTCCGGGTTTCCTCCCACATTCCAAAAACATGCATGGCAGGCTGATTGAACACTCCAAAATTGTCCCTAGGTGTGAGTGTGAGCGCGAATGGTTGTTCGTTTCTGTGTGCCCTGCGATTGGCTGGCAACCGGTTCAAGGTGTCCCCCGCCTACTGCCCGAAGACAGATGGGATAGGCTCCAGCACCCCCCGCGACCCTAGTGAGGATAAAGCGGTTCGGAAAATGAATGAATGAACAATACTCACAGACTCATATTCATTATCCTCTATGAAAAAAATGCTAGCATTAAAGGATTTTTTTAACTCACATTAGCAGTAGAAGTATTTTTCATGCTGCAGAAAATTCTTTACATTGCATTTCATAATGGTATTGCCCTATTTGTGTATGAGGTATATTATGGAGTGCTATTTATTTATTTTGGTATTTATATATTTTCTTTCTTTCTTACTTAGGCAGCCTGGTGATCCAGTGGTTAGCGCGTCGACCTCACAGTGCAGAGGTGCATGGTTCGATTCTGGCTCTGGCCTCCCTGTGTGGAGTTTGCATGTTCTCCTCGTGCCTGTGTGGGTTTTCTCCGGAGTTTGCATGTTCTCCCCGTGCCTGTGTGGGTTTTCTCCGGGTACTCCAGTTTTCTCCCACTTTCCAAAAACATTCATGGCAGGTTGATGGAACACCCTAAATTGTCCCTAGGTGTGAGTGTTCAAATAATTTTTCGTCTCTGTGTGCCCTGCGATTGGCTGGCAACCGGTTCAGGGTGTCCCCTGCCTACTGTCCGAAGACAGATGGGATAGGCTCCAGGCTCCCCCCCACACCCTTGTGAGGATAAACTGAAAATGGATGGACGTACTGACTAGAAGAAGTACAAGTGTTTTCCAAACATTTCTCGGGGGCTGCAACAGATTCATGGCATTTCAATTAATTTAAGAGAGAAGAATATTTAGGTGTGCGAGCGTGTTCACTGGACGATTTTAACTCGTATCTCAGGGTACTACAGTACTGTACTGCATTTGTTCACAGACCGACAATCCACTACGCAATTCTTCACTGACGTCATCTCAAGCACACCCACTGGGCGGTCAGTCCGCCAACTGTGCGGCAACGTGTGAGTCTTTGGCAATTAAAGTGCTCTGGCAGCAAGGGTAGCTTTCTCTGTGACAACATGTCGCGGTACTAAAGTTCCAAGTGCGTACTCTGCTACAAACGCCAATTTCCATTCAGCGTTCACATGTTGTGTCGAACTTGTGGTGTGTTTAGCAAGATGGCTCCGTCTGTGTTGGAGCAAGTGTCAGAGAACACGCTAAAGTGATATTAGGGACCTTGTGTTGACAAGGAGATACGTACGCCAGTGACGCTTCGTCGTTTCGTATTGATAATGACTTCTTGGTCGCTGCTTTGGAGGAAAAGGAAGTGGGTGACGACAACGATGACGATGTTGACGATGGTACGCAGTTAGCGGCAGCCAAGCAGGCGAACTGACGGTGCGACTCGACGGAGCCGGAACCGCTTACCGTGGGAGCTGTCAAGCCGAATTTACCGCACAGGATCCCCGCAAGAATGCCGCGGAGGAAACAGTCCAACCCGCAGCCCGTCAAATGTGAGTTCTTGTCCAGTTTTGTCCGTTTTTTTTCTGTCAAGCAAGGCAACATTTGTATAACATTTTGGGGTACTTGTGTCATATTTTATTTTATTTTGTTGTTGTTCTGAAATGTGTGGTTTAGGAAAGAGTACTTGATCCGAGTACTCCAAATGTATTTGTTGATTTTGCTCCCTCTTCCTCTTCTTTGTGTCTTATCGCATCCTGACCTGAAGGTTGTCTGTCCTTCACAGTTCTTCCTGTTTCCACTTCCGTACCTGACCCCCTCCGGTCCCCTCCTCTTTATTTTTCTTCTTCACTTCCTACATGACTGTGGCTCATTCTGCTCACATGCCGTATGTAATGTTCCAACTTTTTCAGCAGGTTGGAAAAGAAGCATTTGTTGAATGTTTCTCGACAATGGAAAAGCAGCAATGTGTTTGATGCGCTACAATGTAATGTTCCAACTTTTTCAACAGGTTGAAAAAGAAGCATTTGTTGAATGTTTCTCTACAATGGAAAAGCAGCAATGTGTTTGATGCGCTACAGGCTCATTTAAGCGTTTCCTTGTTTGACACGTCTTTCGCTTCACTTATCTTATCCACACTGGTTTCCTCTGTTGCCTTCTGTCATACTTCCTGTGCCATTTATACTCTCAGGTAAAGTCAATTTTATTTATACAGCACCAATTCGCAACAGAACCTCTCTCAAGGCACTTATTATATTGAGCAGGTCAAGAAGCATACTCCTCATACATTAAAGACAATCATCCCAGCGCCGCATGTGTAAAAGATGCCGATTCACAGTGAAATGGCTGAACCAGACCGAACTGTGACAGTGTGGGCAGTTCAGGAGTGGCCGATGGTCAGCTATCAGATTTGCTGTGATTCACGCTGGGAGAGCGTCCCAACATCACAGATCCAACAGCCAATCAAAAAACACCCTTGAGCTTTCATACACACACACACACATAACAAATTCATTTAAATACATTTTCGGGTTTTAAGATTAAAGTGAGACCAGCCGGCTGCTACCTCCCCACAAAGCTGAACAAACACAACATATCTAGATAAGTATACAAATATTGTGTTTTACAACAATACTTCACTTTAATATACCTATGAATTAAAGAGTGACGTGTACAGGGCATAGTGGATGGACATCTTGAGGCTAGAGAGAGAGGTAGAGAGGAAAAACACTACTTGCTCCTTGGTTGCTTTCTTGACTCTGTCTCTAAAGTTGGCGCCAGTTTTAGGATCAAATTCGATTCACGTGTTTTGATTCACAGTGGAGTTGGAAGATGGTGGTGTGGCAGGCAACACGGGCTGTCTGGTTGTGGACGGTGACATGCTGATTCGTGGAGAGTTGGGCTTCGGCAATGCTGAAATAATGGGTTTGCACGCAGATTCTGGTCAGTATATGCACACGCACACAAATACACATTGTTAAGGCCAGAACAGTAAAGCGTTCCTTTTGTTTACGATCAGATATGACTGTGTTTTCTCTCCGTGTGGAGGAGGATCCTTCAGGGCTAACAGACACAGCATTCCCACCATTCCTCTCATGTAAAGGTTGCGATCAAGTTCTCTGTGACACGCCACTGGGAGCAGGGTTTGATCTTGGTAACATCACTTCCTGCCATATTGCATTTCATAATCTTTTAAGACATTACACTACCTTTAGGTGGAAGCAGTCTTGCGCTGTTTTTTTAAACACATTTATGACATCCATACATTTTCCCTAGTAGAAGTAAATTGAAAAGAAAAAAAAAATTACAGGTAAACCTTTTTGTTACATGTTGTATCCCGGTGCCTATTGTTGACAAACTTTCTGTTCTCAAATGGTCTTTTTTCATCACAATTTTCGATCCCCCTGCAGGAGTGGGCCAAGATCTTAAGTCAAAGCTTTACTGTCTCACCTGTGAAGGGGGTAGCCAGAGTGCTGCCTCCATCGAGTGCAGGCAGGTGGCAGATGCCAAGAATGCTGACGGATCCCTCGATAATGCATTGGACAGAAAGAAAAGCATCCAAAGTAAAATGGGTGCAAGTGGCGACCTTCCTCATAAAATCTACTACTGCTCACTGTGCACCTTCACTTCCCGTTACTCCAATCACCTGAAACGGCACATGCACATCCATGACGGCCAGAAACCGTACCGCTGCCCCGCATGCCCCTACGCTTCCACCCAGCTTGTTAACCTGCAGCGCCACACGCGCACACACACGGGAGAAAAGCCATACCGCTGCCATCACTGCAGTTACGCCTGCAGTTCACTTGGCAATCTGCGCCGGCACCAGCGCATGCACACACTGGATCATCGGCCAAGGAAGGACAAGGACCGTAGAAGAGCCACTAGAAGAAAAGTGAACGGCAAAAGCGAAAAAGGTAGAAAACTGTCAAATCAAATTCACTTTGGATTCCCAATAAAAATGTGCAATGGGCACAATTGCACGCCCCCCCGGCCAGACTTTGGACGCCACTGGTCTATAACTTGCAGTTGCTGGTCGAAAAAGCTCGTCCAGAAGAGGCTTAGTGTCGAGCAGCTACTCCAGTTTGCAATTTGCAACGTATAAACTGAAATGCCCCTTTAGAGATTAACATTAGTACAAAAAGTTGTTGAAATCCTCATCTCGTCTTTGTTCCCCTACTGTTCTAGTTGTCTCCAACCTGACACTGCAAGTTTCTCAGGACTCGGCTTACCTGCAGGCGCAGAGCAGTCTGAGTTCCACTGCTGGCCCGCTGCCTGTCCTGCTCTTTCCGCTGTGCTGCCGGCTGTGTGGCCTCACGCTGCAGGAGAGTGACCCGGATCCCATCAAGATGGAGGACAGTGACGATGCCGATAGACAGGTGTGTTTGTGTAAAAATAAATTTTTGCTTCATGTGGAAAAATAAATGTCCCCACTCCAGCAACAGAGATGGCAAAAATACTCACACTCTACAGAAATACTTGTGTTTAAAAAAAAAAAACACTGGAAAAGTACTGCTTCAACCTCTTAAATGGGGACTTTTGCAATTAAAAACGTTTTTTGTCATTTCATCTAAATCAGCAATGTCAAACATACGGCCCGCGGGCCGGAATCGGCCTGCAAGGAGGTTCGATCAGGCCTGCAGGATAATTTAAAAGTGAAAAAATTCATAAGAGACACGGAATGGCTACTTTTAATAAGGTGCAATTCATGGAGTATCCGCTCGATCTGTTTCTTAAATTTCAACATTTTCCTAATGTTCTTGTGGCCTGACAGCAGTCGGTAGGAACGAGCGGCGGTATCTCTCCGTCTTGCAAGCATATGGTATAATTTTAATGGTCCGGCCCACTTTACATCTACCGAGGCTTTATGTGGCCCACAATGTGAAATGAGTTTGACACCCCTGATCTAAATCCTCCAATCCTTGTTTTTTTTTTTGTTTTGTTTTTTGTTTTTAGTTGTGCCGTCGTTGCTCGTTGGACCTGTTTGTCAAAGATGGCCTTGATTGTTCAAGAAGTCAACTTAGGCCTCTGGAGTCACGCCAGGGTGGCAACCAGCTCTACCGCTGCCCCCTGTGTCCCTTTCTGTCCTACTACCCCCACCATCTAGCCCGCCATGCCCACATCCACTCTGAGGATAAACCTCACCACTGTCCACAGTGCTCCTACACTACCTCCCACCTGGACAACCTCAAACGGCACCTGCGCGTGCACACGGGCGAGAAGCCATACCAGTGCCCATCGTGTAGCTACGCCTGTGGCAACCTGGCCAACCTGCGGCGCCACGAGCGCATCCATTCGGGCGCCAAGCCGTTCCACTGTGACATTTGCGGCTACTCTTGCAACCAGAGCATGAACTTGAAGAGACACATGCTGCGACACACTGGTGAGAAGCCGTACGCCTGTGGCGAGTGCGACTACACCACGGGACACTTGGACAACTACAAACGCCACCAGAGGAAACACAGACATGGCGTGGACAACTGGGACCGGCCGGTGGCCCAACATGGCCTCGACTGGGCCAAACAACATCATGAGAACCAGGGACACAGTTAGTCTGCCTTTGCGTGTGTGTGCTTTGACTGAGTGCTTGACTGATTTTGACTTTGGATTTTTTGCGACTTGACAAAAACACTTCACACTCACCTTGGACTTGGGAGTGAAAAGACTTGTGACATGAGACATGAAAATATGTTATACATAAAGTTGTATTCAAAATAATAATTGGATAAATCCCTGTTTTAGTCAGAATTATATCACTATGTTGTAATATCACCAATCACCACGAGATGGTGGACATAGCTCAGTTGTGCTTTACACTGGGCCTTGTACCGACCTACACTACAAATGAGAAGGGCTAATATTTTTTTAAGAATTTGTAATGATAGGCATGATAAACAGTACCTCTGTACATGTCAAACATACGGCCTGCGGGCCGGAACCGGCCCCCAAGGAGGTTCAATCAGGCCCGCAGGATCATTTAAAAATGAAAAAATGCATAAAAGACACGGAATGGATATTTTTAATAAGGTGCAATTCATGGAGCATCCGTTAGGGGTCCACTGTTTTGATCAGAGTAGAAGACAACATTGTTTTCATCAGAGAAGAAGACAACAGCAGTCTCAGTCTGTCACTGAGCCAGACCCAACACAGCAGATGCTATCAAGGACATGTGAATACTTTATTCTTTACACATTTTAGCACTCTCCTTAGTTCCTAAGGTGTAGGCAGAGATTACATTTAGATTGTACTGTATATGCACATGTGTAAATGGTTTAAAAATTCCTTTCTTTACCAATCTCGTTTAATCCTGAAGTGCATTACGATATTTTTCAATACCAATTATTTGTTAAAGTTTTGTGCCTTTTACAATCAGTGGGATCAGTTGCAATGCATATATTTGAATGATAAAAATAAATTGCACATTTGTCTTAGGAAATCTAAGGTGCTTCATGAAATGTTTTGTAAGAGATATGTTCATTAAATGTCAACATTTTCCTAATGTTTTCCTAATGTTGCACAGCCTTTGCACTGGGAAAAATACAGTAGGTCTTTGCCTCAAGCACTTAGATTAGTCCTGTCGACTTTTTCTACATGGATTGAAAATGTGTTATCAAAAATGAAATTATATGAAGAGCTCATATTTTGTACGTGTGCACATTGTCCATATTTAAAAGTATTTTTTGTCATACATCAGGTCATATTTGGAGTCCTTTCTCAAGTTTTCCTCCAGATGGGGTTTTTGGAGTTTTTTTCTTGCCCTCATGGGGGTGAAGATCAGGGGACGCTGTTAATATTTGTCAGCTGTGCACAGGGAATGTGAACCCCTTTGAGACTTTTTGTGATTAAGGGCTATATAATTTGACTAGAAGTGCGTGGCCCTATGTGCCTCCCTAGTCGCACTGATGAAAAATGTTCTCCCCTCTCAACTCATCCCTGCAATGGACCCAACATTCATGACCAACAAGTTGGTTACTTCTATGCCATTAAGACGTGAATAAAATTTCAGTAAGTGTCTATACAACTAAAGATTAGTTATAGTCATTCATAATAATTCTAAATCCCTAAGACGTTCCAGTTCATACAGTAAATATTTCAGGTAAAAATTTTTTTTTCCATTTTTAAACAGCCCAATATTAGGTTTTCTTTATTTTCTGTAAAAATTACCGGTAGATCCATTTTTTCTACATTTTGATTTCAAATATAATGGTGCAGTGTTCCCAATGCATTGCCACAAAAAAAAAAAAAAAGGTTTTGAGTTGTGCTCGCATTTGCAAACACAGCTATTATTTTGAACAAAAACTCCAATAATGTCATTATTTGACGTAATTCCTCTTCTATCTCCCTGAAAACCAAAAACTGCATTAAGGGCGACTTATCACAGGACTTGACTTGCATACAGGTTTGAAAGTTGACTTATACGAACCTTGATCTCAACTCTGTGAGTTTTTTGCCTCCATCTCAGGTAACAGCTAAACTCTGGTGCCTTCGTACGGACAGACTAAGGACTGTAAAGCTGATGTGTCAATTTAGTGTGATTATCACTGCTTATCAATTCAGTGTTTTTGGTGGGTCACGGTCATCTTTGATTGTTCCTGATGTGGAATTTTGCAGCATTGGTGTTGGAATCATTGTTCACCTTTTAATACATTTTGATGTCATTTCCCAACTAAAAAGTGTTGCTTTTTTTTTGTGAGTAAAATAATTCAAACTTTCAAGATCATTGTGAGTGTGAATGGTGGTTTGTTTATGTGTGCCCTGCAATCGGCAGGCAACCGCGGGGTGTAAGCTGCCCACGGCCCAAAGTCAGCTGGGATTGGCTCAAGCATGCCCGAGACTCGTGAGCATAAAGCAGTTCAGATCATGGATGGATAGATGAATAAAGATGCTAAATTGGACTTTGTGTTGCGCTTTCAGTGCACAGACTGCAGCCCGGATCATCACTAGAACCCTTTCCTTTCACTACATCACCCCTGTCCTCCCAACAGCTCCACTGGCTCCCTGTCAAACTCAATATCAACTTCAAAATCATTCTGTACATGTTTAAGGCCGTCCATAAACTTGCCCCCCCCCCCCCATCTGTCTGATCATCTTTGAATTTCCGTTCCCTCTCGCTCCCTCAGTTCCGTCTCCTCCCTTCACCTCTCCTTAACTTCTACCCATCTCACCACGATGGGGGGGGCAGAGCTTTCAGCCGCCCTGTTCCCAAACTCTGGAACTCACTTCCACCCGACATCCGTAACATTGATTGTCTCCCTACATTCAAATCCCGTCTTAAAATCTACCTATTCCAGATTGCATACTCTGTTTGAATTCCATCTCTTCTTTTTTACTCCATATAGTTTTATCTGTGGTTTTATTGTTTTGTTCTTGGTTGTAAAGTGTCCTTGAGTGTTTTGAAAGGCTTGTAGATCAAATGTATTATTATTACAAAAGTGTGTACTATGAATGAAAAAAAAGTGACTTCCTCTTTCACCCTGTTTTCAGGAAACATCTGCTTTACAGGCTGTATGCAGTGAAGAAGACTCAGCCATGGATGTCCCCTACAAACGCCCACAACACATCGGCTAAGATGCCATAAACAAATGCTGTCCCATGGCTTGGGTGGTGTTGCCATGTTGTGACTGACGCTGACTCACATTGCCACTTTAACCTGAAGCAGAACATGTGCAGAGTGACGCTGACGGCTTGAAATCATGGGCCAGGTGAGCGATGAATTTGATGCTTTTTCTTCAGTGCATACAACAGCTTTTTGTGTCTTTTGTCCGTGCAGTCTTTACAGAAACGTGACCCAGCCAATCTCTTCCCTGGAGACATCGTAGAGTATCGGAGGAACAAATACTTCTCCCACTTTGCCATCTATTACGGGGAGAGGGATGGCGTTCGCTACGTGGCTCACCTGACATCTCGAGGTGCAGTACAGTGCATATAAAAAGTCTACACACCCACTGTTCAAATGCCAGAATGAACCGATCGCATTCAAACTCTGGTTAAAAGCAATAAGCTGATGATGGGATTTTGTCACCCAGGTAGAGTGAGTGAACACTGTATTTCAATTTGAAAAACAAAGATCAACATTTTTGCTCCTTTTCTGACATGTTGTGGAACAAACCAGCAACGGAATCATATTCAGGCAGTCATTAATTAATGTTTGTACATTTTCTGCATCGGCAAATTGAAACACAGAAGTTTGCAAATGTGTTATTTGGACTCAACACAAAGTTAATCAGCCTGCTCTTGCAGAGGACTACAGAAATCGAATATTTACTGTTGAGAGGCTGAAATTAGTGAATTTGTACAATTTTAGGTCAAGCAAGGTCTAAATGATTAATCAGTTGTCAAAATTAGTGGTTGATTAATTTGATTATCGATTCTTTTAATTAATCGATTAATTGTCACACCTCTAAATGGTTGAACTTTCCAAGAGTTAGTTCTGCTGCAAATACAACAGCGCTCATCACCTCAAGAACACATGCTGGCAGCAGCATGCTTTTAGGCTGCTTTTCTTCAGATGGGAATAATCTAAAATATATATTTTTTACTCGATTGTGTTTCACAAATTCCAGGTCGTATACTGGTAAATGCTGTAAAAATTTTTGAAATGATTTCCCTTGATCTCATTTTTTTTATACCACAAAAACCTGGCTTTTTTTGAGCAGGGGGATGTAGACTTCCATCCACTGTTTGTTTTTGAATTTCAAGTTAGCCTTAAGAATTACGTGCCTTCACAGACTCTGACTCCAAGCTCCCACTCTTTGGGCGGGCCCTACGTTCGGAAGTCAAATTAGATCCCATGGAGCTACTGGGGAAGAAGTACAAGGTGATACACCACATGGTCAATGAGTGTAGCTTCAACATTCAAGTGAGAACATCTTTGTGCTATTTAGGTGAACAACATGCTGGATGACTCCTTCCCGGCAAGAGATTTCCACAGTGTCGTGAAACAGGCTATCGATGACATGATGGGACAGGAAGTGACCTTTGACATTTTGTTCCACAACAGTGAGCACCAGGCAACACTCTTTAGATATGGAGTGAAAAAGTCAGAGCAGGTCAAACACCTCAATACTTTCGCCACATCAATCAAAAATGTTATAGCTACCATATGAGGCAGATCCTGGCTGCTCAACATAACATGGCGCCGAAGTCATAAAGTTACATGTGTGTGTTACAGATTGAGAGAATCTACGAACACATCATGCCTGCGTGGGAGAAGCTGTTTAAGGAGCGGAAGCTGTGAAAATGCTTCAGATGTACTTTGTAGTTCAGCAGCAACAATATTGACAAGATTAAAAATTAGCTCTCATTTTGTCTCTTTCATTTGAGCATCTTGATCACTCCATTTTTAAGAAAAAATAAAATGCACTATAGTTTTTTTTTTTTTGTCAAATTATTTTGGGTTGTGTACACTGAATGGTTTTATTTGTCCATTTTTTTAAATAGCATTATTGAACCTTGTATAGAGAGCATCTTTTCATCTATCTGTCTTTGTTGTTTTGTTTTTGGATGGGAATAAATTGATCAGTCCTAAAATGATTCAGGTCCTACTTACAGGAAAAAGAATTATTTTTCTGACCATTTTGAATCTGATCTAATAGCCATGACATGTGGGGTTCCTTAAGGGTCAGTCCATGGACCCCTTCTGTTCAGTCCGTATTTGTTACCTTTTTGTAAAATGCTTCAGAATGTTGGTTATCATTGCCGTGCAGATGTCCCCATATGACAGCTGTTCAATTAATGCAGGGGTGTCCAACCAAAGACCAAGTCTGAAATGTTGGGGCACTGATAGACTTGGACCTGACCTTCAGCAATCATACCAAATCAATCACTAAAACAGCCTTTTACCAGAAAAAAAAATACATACAGGCT